GAGCGCAGGGCCTTACTGAGATTTGCCTTCAAGCTCAAAGGTACCACGGTTAGTGTGCAACCAGACCTTCCGTTAGCGGATAGGTTAAAATTAAAGGAAGCCATCAGAGACCTAAAAGCCCGGCGTGCAGCTGGCGAGCAAGGTCTCCGATTGGTGGGTTTTCAGGTGGTCAGCCGGCGGTCATTTTCCGCCCTGCCAGAACCTATACTACTGGCGCACGACCCAGGGCTGGTCGTGCCGAAGCCCTCCAAGTAGTACTTAGTAACGTGCGTAGCCTGAGGAACAAGATGTGCGAGGTGGGTCTGCTCGTAGACAAATCTCGTCCAGATATACTTGCTTTCACTGAAACGTGGCTGTCTGAGGAAATCACAGATGGCGAAGTATATCTGCCTGGCTACGCATTGTTCCGCGCTGACCGCTCCATTGGCCGTCAAGGGGGTGGTGTAGCTCTTTATGTGAGTTATCACATCGACGTACTGAGGACCAGCGTTTTTCAGTCTCTCGACAAATCTGTTGAGGCACTCGCAGTATTGATTTGCGCTTCCTCGGTTCAGGTTACGGTCGTGTTAGTGTATAGAAGCCCTATGAGCACCTCAAATGGAATCATAGAGTTTATACGCACTCACTCTGCGAACAAGTGTCTGGTGCTGGGAGACTTCAACCTCCCAGAGGTCTGTTGGGATGATCTATCTTGCAGTTCTGCGCTGGGATCGTTCGGTACAGAACTGCTGGACTTAACGCTGCAGGTACCACTACACCAGTTCGTGGACCTCCCCACTAGGTACATGAGCAATCAGCAGCCGTCCATTTTAGATCTTGTTTTTGCTAAGTCACTTGACTTTGTAAATGACATTAAATACGACTCGCCTCTTGGCGCTAGCGATCACGTTTGCTTGTCTTTCCAGTGTACCCTTATCAGGCCTTGCCAAGCTACTACCAGTTGGTATCCGAACATTTGGGCCGCGGACTTCCAAGCGATGCGGGATAGAGCTAGGTCATCGCCTTGTGTGATATCTGAGACCGACACTGTTCACATAGCCTGGGAAAAGCTTAAGGCTCACCTCGTCGACATTTCTGCACCTCACGTCCCACTGGTAAAAAGAAGGGAATCGAGAGCGCAGCCTCCGTGGATAGATTCCGCGGGGAAGGGCCTGCTAAAGAAGCGGTCTAGATGCTGGCGAGCTTACCGAACAGCTCCGTCAAACAGCACGTTTGACAAGTATCGGTTGGTTCGAAATGAGTGCAAGCTACATCTTAGGTTGGCCCGGCTTCAGTATGAAAAGGGCTTAGCTAATACTGCTTCGAAAAATCCCAAGAGATTCTTCGCTTACGTTAAACGACGCTGTGGTGCAAACTCGCCCATTCCACCATTGCTTCGAGGAGATGGGACCCATGCCTATAGCGACTATGACAAGGCATGCGTGCTTGGTAAGCAGTACTCAAGCGTCTTTGTCCGCGAGACAAATACGCCATGTAAAGAGTTAGCTCCAAGAGTCCCTGAGGACTGTTGTCTGGATGAAATTCCTGTAACTGAGTCCCAAGTTCTCCGGTTGCTAAAAGAGGTGAACCCAACTAAGGCTTCTGGGCCAGATTCTGTTCATCCAAAATTGTTGCACGAATTGGCAGGGGAACTCAGTGGACCTCTGACTTGTGTGTTTCAGAAGTCACTCAACAGCTGTATCTTGCCTACCGAATGGAAGGAGGCTGTTGTCTGCCCGATTTTCAAGTGCGGTGACAAAGACCTACCGGCTAATTACAGGCCTGTCAGCTTGACTAGCGTGGTCGTTAAGTTACTTGAAAAATTAGTACGAGATACAGTGGAGAACCATTTAAATAGGTTTAACCTGCTTAGCGTCGAGCAACATGGTTTTCGCAAAGGATTTTCGTGTCAGACGAACTTGCTGGTAGCTCGAGAGTGCTGGGCTGAAGCCGTAGACAGTGGACATGCGGTGGATGTGGTGTTCATTGACTTCGCCAAGGCCTTTGACACTGTCCCCCATTCGCGACTCTCACTGAAGTTGAGGTCGTATGGAATAGCTGGTCGTGCTCTCCAGTGGGTGTCAGCTTTTCTGGATGGACGGGAACAGTGTATTCGTGTAGGAAGCAGTCTTTCGTTTCGACAGGCTGTACTTAGCGGCGTTCCGCAAGGCTCTGTCCTAGGTCCGCTGCTGTTCTCAGTCTACGTGAATGACTTGCCGGAGGAGCTTGAGGTACAATCGCTTTTATTTGCAGATGACCTAAAGCTCTGGAATATTGTTGATATCCCTGGAGGTCCTGTGGCTCTTCAACGGGCTCTGGATAGACTCTGGGAATGGTCTGTCTTGTGGTTGCTGCCTATAAACCGGGCAAAGTGTTCAGTGCTGCGTATCGGAGCGTCTGCTTCCTCCACAAGTTATGTGCTCGATGGGACTGTACTTCCTCACGTGACTCATCAGGTTGATCTAGGTGTCATCCACTGCTCCACATTACACTCTGGAGACAACTGGAAGAAGGCGGCTAGTAAAGGGTTCCGAATGTTGTGGTTTATCCGTCGTTCTTTTGGGACCCTAACCGCTGGTGTGTTTGTGAAGCTCTTCTCAGCGTTTGTGCGACCCCACCTAGAATATTGTGTCCAGGCCTGTCCACCATGTCTTGTCCGGGACAAAGTGGCACTAGAAAGGGTGTTGCGTGTCGGTACTAGGTTGGTCAATGGATTACGAGGGCAAACGTACCCCGAACGCCTACTTAGTTTGGGGATGCATTCGATGCACTATCGAAGAATTAGAGGGGACCTAATCCTAACCTACCATATTTTGACTGGGAAGGTTGGCCCTGATTTGTCCATGCTATTTAGTCATGCTAGATTATCTGGTCTTCGCGGGCATTGTATGAAGCTGGACAAACCGCGGTCCGATCGAGTTAGAGCGGAGACACGGTTATCAAGTCAATTCATCGAGCGCTGGAACTTGCTTCCAGAAAATGTTGTCAAAGAAGCTACGGTTAAGGGGTTTGAGCGTCAACTAGATGCTCTTGGGTGGCAACATGAAACCTTTCCGTTTTCCTGACAAATTCCCATCTTCATACTTCGATTCTATTTTCTGTACTTTTCCTCGCCATTGGTATTATTCTCTTTTTGAACTGATTTCCCCTACTCTCTGACCTACGATTCTTCTTCCTCTCTTACTTACTTCACGTAACTGACATAGCTGGGACAGCTAATGTAAGGAACGTGGGCATTAAATTGGTGGACCAGGGTGTTTTTCGGGTGTTTTAGTTTTAGACCCATCAAGAAGTCGGAGCATCACTATCAACTCCTGGATCGACGACCCGCTCAAGAAGGAACACTTACGGGATTCATCCTATCGTTCCAGTCCCACTTGAACTTGAACTTGAACCCGTCGAGTCCATGGTATCTCGGTTCTGCACCGGAAAAATAATGAAAATGCTCGTGTTCTGATAGGAAACGACAGTAAAAGCCCCAAATGATCTTTACAAAATGTAACTATTGCATCCCTGCATAACCCCTAACCATTGATAACCCTGAATGCATCAGCATGTTGCACATGTAACTACGACCGGTTATTTTGCGGTCACGGTTTTTCAGGATCATGAGAAATATACATTATTATAATTATAAATACCCTTGTCGATCGTCCGGTTGTGCAACCGCTGTGCCTTAAACGCTATCACTACATGACACAAGCGGATAGTGTATGAACTGTTGAATGGCGTTCTGCGAGCCGACCACAAAAAATATTGTCGATGATAGTGGCTCCGCGTCACATATTTGCTGCAAGCAGGGCGAGCGAACCGCTCAGCACCATTATATCACGCAAAAGGCTCCGATGGCTGAGCCACGTGTTGCGCATGCCAGCACACCGACTCTCGCGATGTGCACTATTTGCGCGTTGGGGGTGCGGTTGGAAGAGGAGGAGGGGAAGCCAAGCGATGACTTGATCGAGCGAAATGAAATGAAATGTTGGTTGGTGCATCCCGACTGCCTGGCTGGGGTCCTAAGGAAGATGAACACATATAGTTGGGAACACTTGCTAATATGGCTAAGAGCCGGCGTTTGTGCAATGAGTTCCTTTGTCCATCCGTCTCCTGCTTAGCCTCTCTCTCCAATCACGATCTTATTCTTAGGCATAAACTAACTCTTTTTGCGGCAGGATAGCCGGCTGTTAGGTCTCCGGAACGATGCCTATCCGTTACTGGGGACTCAGTCGGCGTACCTGCTTTTTTTCTTTCGTGTCTTTTGTATTGCGGCACCATAGCTGAGGTGTTTTCCACATGTAGCTAACGCGTATGATGAGGATGAGGATGATGATGGTGATGATGATGATGATGAGGAGGAGGAGGAGGAGGAGGAGGAGGATAATGATGATGATGATGATAGTGGCTCGTAACTAACAGGGATCTAACATGGGAATGCGTAGAGGCCAGACACGACCTTATTCTCATATGTGCCTTCCGCTAAGCTTCTGAGGATGAATTAATTAACCATATGTTAGGGAGACACGTATTACACATGCATATTTTGGGAAACACTTGGTTACCGATTTGTTTCCTTCAGCTATCGCTGTTAGTGATATTTGTTTAAACACATTATGCCGCTGATTTTATTGGCTGCTGTGGTCACTGTTTTGGCCCTCGGATCGCAATGCCACTTGGCTGCCAACACCCTCTTTTTGTTCATGCGTGTCTCTTATTGGTTCTTTTGTTGATCACTGTTTATGAGCTTCATTTCGCTTGCATACTTTTAAAAATATGGTTGGCTGAAATGTCTTTTAGTAGCTTCCCTTCCAATCATTTGTAAAAGTATTTAAGTAAATATGATTATATGCATATAATACTTTCCCAGGACCTCTTTGGAGTTCTTCTTGCGGTCGTAGGATGAAGGCGTCAACTGCGATACAACACCATACTTGACGGACATTTATGCCAAAAGTGTGTGCAACTTAGGTCTGCAGGATGTGATAGGAATCGATTCATTATCCTACTGAACAGTACCCTGGACGTACCTCATCCAGAAGGCGTTGTGTTTCATTTCGCTTTTCGGAGAGGAGGCGTTCTTGTGACACTTGACTCAGTTCTAGCTTCAGTCGGAGATCATCCCGCTCGGTTTCTGCTTGGCGCGCCCGTTGTAACGCTTGTGTTATCCGTTGCTCTAAACATTCTTTGGAGGATGAACCCTCATCCGTGAGTGTCCGTGCGTCTGAGTTCTGTTTGCCGCGGTTCAGCTGTAAATATAGTCGGCTTCTTTCCTAAACGCAAAAAAGTCAAACTATGCTCAGTAAATTAAATCTAGGGAAAAGAAAACTGGAAAGTCATCAGTACTAAGCCGGTGCACCGCATCGACACTTTGCTGCCACGTGAACTTTCTTATTCGCGTGAAAGCTATGCATACTGCGAGGTCACTCGCACCTACACAACTTCGAATCAAAGCTATAGTTTTACAAGAAGTTGATAATTCTCAGTTACGCAATAGCAATAGAGTGGTTTAAAAACATTAACCAATACGTGGCATAAGCTGCTGACTAGGGGGGCAAGTCACTAGGGGTCATGGGTTCGATCCCCTGCAGAGGAACGAGGGAATGCTCACAACTGACAAGTCTCAATAGGGCAAAACCACTGCGTGATGCTTTTCTGGATTGGTGGTTGACGTTTGTGACTGATGTCGATGATGCGAATAAATATTGCCAAATCCGTTTACGCATAAGTAATCCAATACATCAATATTATGCACCTTGGTATGGTGAGAAAATACAAGTTAGTGAGGAACACTGAAACCGCAGAATGAGTGTTTTGCGGACGACAGCCAGACGTCCTCGTCATCATCATCATCATTATCAAAAGAAACACTGACGTACTGCGGCTTCGTTACCACACTACCATAATCATCCTGCTGATTAAGAATGAGGAGAGGGTAGAAAGGGGACGTGAGACCGGAACGCGCTAGATGAACATTCAGTGTTTTGCACCTGTGGCCTATCAAAGACGAGCGGTTACACACAGATGACCATGATGTGAAGGTAAGGTGAAATTCACACATCTCCATAGGTCAAGCGGTCAGGGATATAAACATACAGATTTGAGAACACACGGTCGCATTGCACAAGTACGGAGGAACAAATATGGCCACCACTATGGCTTTACCTCTTAGTGCGACGTACGGTGAACCTCTCTGAGTATTCCCACTGTGTCTGTATCAATGGAATTAACATTTTGCCCAGTGACTAGAAAAGCCCCATGGTTCAAACCTGTGCTCTCACGAATGTTGCCTTCTCGTTGTAAAATTCTGCACCGATTGCGTATTGATCCACTTGGCCTGAAGCACATTTTATATCAAAGGTAAGATACAATACAACAAATACACCAACCGAAAGCTTCAAAAACTGAAATCGTGACTAAACGTTGGTCACGAGTTCAAACTCTTGGCGATACCAGACGATACGGTACCGCGTGTCGCCATGCGCATACGCGTGGGTTGGAGCGTGGAAGGAACGGGCACATTGGTGGTCGTGTGAGATTCCGACAGTTGCCGATTCATAAACTTATGTATTCCATCGGATGACCGCTGAGGGCAGTAGGCCAGTTACCAACTTGGTAATGGTGTCCGCAGATAATAACAACCCATTTTATTCTGTCAAGATAGAAAGGATAGGGGTACATCAGCCTCGTAAAATGAAGTAATCTACCTTTTCAACCGACTGCAGTTCGTCCAAAAGCTTTGCGATATTTGTATTTGCCTGTTCGCGTACTTTTTCAACTTCTTCCTGAGTTCTTTTTCCAGCCTCTTCCAACAAATTCTCAACCACATCTTGAAGGCTTTCCAGTTTGCGTTCAGCGAGTATTTTTGCCTCCAGTGCTTCGTCTCGTTCGTCCGCTGCGACCTTGGTCAATTGCAAGACTTCCGCCACCTATTTTACAGTGGGTGAAAGAGAATTAGATCGGTACGATAGACCCGGAGCTGTGGTTACAGCAACCTAATTGAGCTGTGGATGTTTTCTATTCCCGAGAATTATTCTTCCATCAGAAATGCATGCATCAGTAAACAACGATGAAATTGCGCACCTTGGAACTATACGATTTGGTGAATAAGAATGTTTGCTCAGAAACACAGGCCCATTTATAAAACATGTAACTGCGACAGAGACAGGCCTTCATAGTACACATATGGTAAACATTCGTTTTCACACAATTTCGGATGCGTAAGTTTAATTGCTAGGTTATTACCCCAAAAAAGAACGAGTTTTGGCTTTACTTTGATGATGAACAACAAGTACTCGAAAATGAAATGTGCAAATATGTCTATGTTAGTGTAATCGCGCAACAACTGTTTGTTATGGAGATGCGAATTGGGTGTATTTGACCAACCAATAGACAGGGTAATTTGGGTCCATTGTGGGTGTCACGGAGGCGAAGCATCTGACTATGACGGTGCGTACTAGGGGGCGAGATTGGCCACACCACGTGATCGGCTGACAGACTCGTTGTCATGGTCAAACCGGAAGCTGACGAAATCAGACCGTCATCGCCGCACGCGTTGCTATGTTGCGGACGTGATCCTACGTACAGTCAGACAGTGAAGGCCGCTACCAGAGTCGAATCTGATCAGAGAAGAGATCTGAGTCACCTCAGCGATAGCGGCAAGCACATGTGAGCTATAAAAGTAACCATGCTCTGTGCCTAACATACTTCTGTCTAGCAGACTCGGCGTTTTGTTTTCCCCGCTTGGTTGGCAACGCAGAGAGATAGAGGCGAAGGGCAGCGGCACAACAGTGGATTCATGCGAAATGCCTGCACTGTGGATGGATTGCGACACACGGTCTCACCCAATGGCGTAGCAACTGCTATTGCCGCTCGGAGCGGTGGCAACATTTTCGCTCGGACGGAGGGCAGAATAGGAGCGTGAAAGCAACACAATCGGCTCAGGGTAAATTGCGCGTTAGTTTTCGTAGAAATGAATAATCATTTGAGACGCTGAGTTAAAGGTCGTGAAAGTGACCACAATGGGACAAGTAAGGGGATCGCGGGGAAGAACATGTGCACGTGTGTGACAGATGGCGCAAATGTGTTGTTGGTCATACAGAGTAAGATGAAAATAATCAGCCCTCAACTTAGCTGGAGCTTTTGCCCTTTATATTTGCTATCGAACAGTCGGCGGTACTAAATACGCCGCCCCCTGTCATAGGCCACCCGGGGCGGACCGCCCCTTGCCTCACTAACGTTAAAGCGGAAGTTTGCATTGTCAGTTGCGTTTTGCTATGGGACCGTGAGTTGGTATGCCAAACGCTTTATTCGCTCCCCCCCCTTCCCCGGGTTCTGAGATGCCAGAGAAAGATCTACGGATTGAGACCCAAAGTAATGTCTACCCAATTGCAGCAGCTCGCAAAGCACCCACGCTAACACTGCTGCCAAATTGGTGGTGGTGTGACGCGTGTGTGCATGTGTATGTGCGTGCTGAATTTCGTGTGTTGATTGGGTGACAGAATGGCCGCCCACGACCGATACTCGTGGAGCAGAGGTGTCAAGAGTTTTTGCAAGGACGACTACATTTGCTGAGGTAAATACATGTCGGGTCATATTCATTGTGACATTAAGATAATAACAAAAATTACACATGTACGAAAAATGTCCAAGCCTGAATTTATTATTTCATGATGAGGCCGCGGGCCAGTTGAAATGTTAACGCAGGCTGCACTTGGCCCGCGGGCCGGAGTTTGGACACCCACCCCGTAGAGGGAACTCGGTCACTCAAATCTTGGCCCCCTCACTCACATGTGAGCGGATTCGGCAATTAAAATAAGGAGGATGGCTTGACAGCATTACCACCCAACAGATTTATTTCTAGCACCACCCCACCAGAAATAGACATGTTGGTTGAAAACAAATAAAGAACTGAAGTCATGGCCATGGGAGAATTATAAGTGCATACCTTTCCCAAAGCTTCGTTCAGCATTTGGCAGGTTGCTTCGTATTTCGCTTCCATGTCTAGCAGCTCATTCTCCAGTTGATGGATGTCGGCGCACGCGTTGTCAAACAGCATCTGCGTTTCTGAAAGTTGGGCCTTGAAAGAAAAACGCAGATAAGAGCGCTGGTTAAAAATTTTTGTGCATGGATTCGCAAGTGCACTGAGGAAACAATTCGGGGAACGCTAGGAGTGACAGCAATTCATTCAGCAGCGCTGCGGTGCTGTACGCATATGGGATTGAGATGACCCGACACTGCCATTGTCTAAGGTAGTGCATATTTTGTCGTGATATTCATCTAATTCGTCTCTCAATCTCCGCGTGATAGTTCAAGATGACCTCGGTTGTTCGAGGCAAACTGAAAAGGCAGCTAAGAAAGCGAACCAGTACCTCGGCCTTCTAGGCAGAGCCTTCGGGAAGTTTGACCCTTTGATCTTTCCAAAAATGCTTAGTGCGTACGCGAGGCCGCAAGCGGAAGACGCTATCCAAGCAACCCTGGCTCAAGCACCATCTCACCGCGCTCGATACTGCACAACGTAAGGCAACGAAGAGCGTCAGAGGTTTAACCAGCCTCCCCTACCCACTCAGGCTGAAGACCCTCAAAATATACAGTGGACGTTATCGGCGTCTAAGGGGCGATCTCATAATCGTGTACCAGATCCTGAGCAACCCCAACCACCCATGCCATTCCCTTCTAATACTCAGTCAAAGCACCTCGCTAAGAGGTCATCAGTTTAAGTTGGTCACGCAGTACAGCCGAGTGGAAAGTCGGCGAGACTATTTCTCCTTTCGAGTGTCACAGCCTTGGAACGCTCTCCCGGAACATGTAATTCATGCACCCACCCTATCCCTTTTCCAAAAACGCCTTGACGATACCCTGTCACATTTACACTACGTGCTATGGCTCATGGCCACCAGATGCTGGCACTAATGCCCAACAGACAGGGGATAGTGCCGTAAGCCTACTCGAGTATGAGTCACTCCAAACGCGTTGCACGAAATCGGATAAACGCTACTACTATAGAAACTGGATTTCTGTATCCTGCCGACTCAAGTTAGTTGCACACGAGTAAGCGTTGTCCTTGCTATCTTTTTTTATTTTTCTCGCCTATGATATGAACAATAATCACTCCCCTGTTACGTTGTGTGCGTACATTCTCATTTCAAACTCCCTTGATACGGAAGTGCAGTCAACTCTGTAATCGCCCGAGCTGACGACTCCATTATCCCTTGCTCTATCTTTTTTCACGCTAAACACCCTACGGGACATGTCAAGCATCTGCTTTTTTACCCGTTATAAATCATTGTTCATTGCTCTTATTCTCATACTGGAAATATATGCTAAAAAGTTAGAATCAAGTAGTAGCAGTCGTGTCACTGAAAAAAGTTAACTTACTGGCAAGACGAGTCTACTCCCAGTGGCGTAGGAACTATTTCTGCCTCCCAGGGCGGACGTAAAATTTTCGCCCCCCTGAGAGTTGTCAATCCGTAAGCCCTCATAATTGTGAATAGCCTTTAAAAGTTTCCTTTCATATAACAACACAAACAGCTACGATGTTGAGGGTCATTTTGAAGTACACGTTGTGTGGATGGATTGCGACGCGCAATCCCAATGTTGACCGCGATTCCCATTGAAGTGAACTTTGGTCATTCAATCACGAGGACCGTAGCTGATGCAAATGGAAATTGGGTGTTGCCCGCCCGAAAACACTGCACTACTAGTAGTAGTGCAGTTACGATACTAATGGACAAAATGTGCTGATGCATTTTTCGTGCGTTACTTGTGGCCATAGTATTGACAACACCATCAAAATACAGTCCATTGGCGAGTTCCCTCTCTATGGGGAGAACCGCCAATCCGTGAGCTTTGTCTGATTCATTGATGATTGAAGGTAGTTCGTTATAAGCTTGCGTTTTGAGAATGCGCTCTCAAAGCTGGTAATGCTAATGGTTCAGGTAAGAAACGAGCGTAAGCTGTTATGTCTGTAGAAACCTCAACAGTTTAGAAGTTCCATTAAATTTGTCGCTTCCTGAAGCTTTCAAATAAAACATTAGTTTTCTCCTTTCTGCAAAGAATTCCTATGTTCTATATCTTCCTCAGCTTCGCTAAACGGACAACCATAGTTATCCTTAAGCAGATTTGACGGTGTAAGAAAGGCATATTTGTTTGCGAGGTCATGAATGTGAGTGTGTGAGTGAGTGAGTCACCTCAGTGATAGCGACGAGGTAAGTGCTTGTGACCTATAAAAGTAACCATGTTCTGTGCGTAATATACTACGGGCTAACAGGCACGGCGTTTGTTTTCCCCGCCTGGTTGGTAGCGAAGAGAGGCAGAGGCGAAGGGCAGCGTCATAACAGAAATCTATGGTAGTTATCAATCAAAGTACATTTGATAACCAGCATTTCCCGTATTAACTCTGCATCAAATCCCATCAATATATCAAACAATTCTTCACCGTCTATTCGTTCCTTTGGGCGGCCTCGACGCTTAATGGCTGTCTTCAATTCAGTATAGTGTATTTGGCTTCATTATTTGCAATGTATACCATTTTCTCCCTATTCTAAAGAAGGCAAAATTAACGCAATAAGCTTGACAGAACTTCACCGCAGATTCAGCCTTTTGTTTAGTAGACATCTCTTTGCATCCTTGATTTTTATGAGACCAGCTCTTCAAAGGCTTAGAAACAAAACGAACGGAAAGAACAAAAGCGAGATGATACTTAGAGATGCATCTGATCTTGTGGTTGCATTTTCGCCTTATTATGTTAAATGTTTCAGCTCCCGCTTGACTACTCCATCTAGATTTTACAGTCGTTTGATACTTAGACCGGTGACTTGAATCAAGACATTCCAGAATTATTTAGATGAAAATAGAATGAGGATAGCTGGTCCATAGTGGCAAAAATGTAACAGAATGAACCGTCGAATAAACTTGATGTGCACAAACCAGATTCAGGAAATAGTTTGTGCATGGCACAAATGTAGCTTTGGGTTGGTTTCACAGCTGTTTCTGCACACGCGATCAATGAACAATGAACAATGATTTATAACGGTTAAAAAAGCATATGCTTGACAGGTCCCGTAGGGTGGTTGGAGCAATAGATAAAATGGAAGGATAATCGGACAAGTAAATCGTTTTTTAAGCGTCTACAGATTTCAACGCACCACTTCATAATGCTAGTTTGAAGTATGGACTGGATGTCTGCACCCAAAGTAGAGCTGTTACATTACAGCAAATGTGGGAAAAAGAAATCAAAGGAACGGGTAACGCTCACTCGTGTGTTGCTTCCGTTGAGAGATGTGGTACGTTACTCCAGTTTGTATACATCCATGTCGCTCATTGGGACACTTCTGTATGTAACATCACCGCCACTTTGCGGGGAGGGTCAGTAACCTCATGGTTTGGGTCTCGTTATTTCGTCCTCCGAATAGGACATGCTATGCCAAATAATGCAAGTTGGAAAGTGTGTCATCTAGGCGTTTTTTAAATAGTGCCAATGTGGGGGCAAGGACGACGTGAGTGGGGAGCGCATTCCAAGCACGGGACACACGGAGTGAGAAAGAGTTTCGTCGACAATCAAGTCGGCTGTAGTGTGTAGCCAGTTTGAGCTGATGACCTCTCAGGTTGGTATTTTGGCTCAGCTGCAAGAGACTGCGACATGGGTGATTTGGATTCATCAGTATTAAGTAGACCATGATGAGGTCTCCTCGGTGACGACGATATTCACCACTGTACAATCCCAGAGACTGCAGTCTGCGTTGGTAGGGGATGTGAAACAGACCTCTGACGAGCTTCGTTGCTCTACGCTGTGGAGCTTCAAGTGCACTGATGTCGCGCTTGCGCCAGGGACGCCAGGCCTGGATCGCATACTCCACGTGGGGTCTCACGTAAGCGCTCAGCATTTGCGGAAATATAGATGGCTCGAAATTTCCGAAAGCCCTCCGTAAGAGTCCGAGATGTTGACTGGCCCTTTTCGATGTCTTTTCAGCTTGTCTGGAGCAGCCAAGGTCGTCCTGCACGATCACTCCGAGGTCGCATTCCTAGGAAGCATGTTGCAACGGCTGGTCCCCGAGTAAGTATTCATGGATGAGCTGGTGGCGTAAGCTCACGACTTTGCACTTGGCGACATTGAAGTGGAGCATGTTTTCGGATGACCAAGTGTACGCCCTGTCCAGATCGCTCTGCAGTGTTGTGTGATCGTCCTCTGTCCGGATGTCATGCCAAATTTTGACATCATCTGCAAACAGCAAGAAGTTCGACTGTAGTACACTGGCAAGGTCGTTCATGAATGTTAAAAATAAACGTGGCCCCAGTACTGACCCTTGTGGCACACCGCACTGGACGTCAATTGGGTCGGACATGGAGCTGCGGACTCTCACATTCTGCTGACGTTGAGTGAGAAAGTTGGCGATCCAACCAAGCACAGGGTCACCGATTCCGTAGCCTCGAAGCTTGTGTAGGAGGATGCGGTGGTCCAAACGATCGAACGCCTTCGAGAAGTCCAGGTAGACAACGTCGACTCCAAATCTAGCATCAGCTGACTCCGTCCAGCTTGCTCGGGCCAGCAGCAAGTTTGTAGTGCAGGATCGATTTCGGCGGAATCCGTGTTGCTGTGGCACTATGATATTGTTGTTCTCCAGATATCCCATCAGCGCCTCCGCAATTATACGTTCCATTACTTTGGATAAAACTGGGAGGAGAGTGATTGGACGGTAGTTCGACGGCTCCGCACGATTACCGCTTTTGTAAATGGGAGTGACTAGCCCATGTTTCCACATTGTGGGAATCAGCATTTCGTCAAGACAACATTGAAAGAACCGAGCTAATGGTTCGGCAATGTTTAGGGCCGCTGCCTTCAACGCCTTCGGTTTAATATCGTCTACGCCTGGCGAGCTGTGCACACGCGACGACATTAGCGTTTTCAACACATTGGTTGCCGTGAACGATACGTTGTGTAAACCTGGGAACGGTGAGAGCTCTGTCAAAATCGGGTGAAGGGATGGTTAACTCCGGAAAGTATGGATGAAGTGTTGACGAAACACGTTGGCCGCGTCCTGTGCAGTTTGCGCATGACCA